TTGAGTTTGAGTGCGAAAATGGATGAGGTGATGTTATGGGTGTAAGGAAAATAGCATGTGAAAATGAAGATGATGTGATGGTTGTGTGTGTAAGGAAAATAGCGTGTGAAAATGAAAATGAGGTGATATTGGGTGAAGATTAAAAAAATAATGTGACGATAGGAATGTGACATGTGTCCATCCAGATTTTTGCTCTTTTATATATGTAGGATGTAGGCTAATTGCATTTATTTAGGAAACAATTGTTTTGTATACAATCTTGAATTGGCTAAGTTTAAAATCTTTATTGTAATAAGATGATTTTAAAAAAATAGAAAAACAATTAGTTATCTAGATGAAAGCTAAAATAAGCTATCATGTAATATGTCTTAACATCAAAATATGTAAGTTGATTTACTTAAAAAGAGTAAGAAAAAAGGATTTGACTATAATCACAACCAAATCATAAGTGTAATGTTGGGTATCTGCTCCATGTCATTGGGTGGATCAAGCTCATACCAACAAATCGATTCAATCAAAAGGCCCAATGCTAATTACGATTGAGAATGAGATTAATTAGGAAACTTCAGTTTAAGGCCTGAATTATTATGAAGAAGCTAAGCACTACAACAAAACTCCACCTTTAACCAAATTTCAATACAAGGAATTCCAAAATATATCTCTAAATTAAACACCACACATCCGCTTCCAAACAAGCCCCAATGGGCTAAATCAATGACAAACATAAACAAAATTCAAGGAATGCTCAAATTTAACAACGGAAAGTGGTTTTGTCACCATATCAATAGAATTATCCTTAGTATCAACTTTGCTCACTACAATATCACCACGAGCAATCAAATTACGCACAAAATGATACTTCCCATGAACGTTCTTAGTCCTCTCATAGAACACTTGATCCTTAGTCAAAAAATAGCACTCTGACTATCACAATATACTGTAGAAATCTACAAGTATTCACCGATTTCACCATTCAATCCACTCAGCCACATAGTCTCTTTACAAGCCTCTATAATGGCCATGTACTCTACCTTTGCGGTAGACAAAGCTATTGTATTTTGTAAAGTAGCTTTCCAGCTGATAGCACAGCCTCCAAGGGTAAACACATGCACTAAAAGTGATCTCTTCTTATTAAGATCGCCTATATAATTAGAATCCACATACCCAATGACTCTATCTATATTTCTACTAAAATGCAACCAATAATTAGTAGAGCTCCCCAAGTATCTGAATATCCATTGCACTACTTTCCAATGTTCCTTGC